ATGATATGTCTTCAAAGAGCGGATGGATAGTGTGTTTGTTATAGGCCGAAATATATCACTATAATTTTTTCAACGATTGCATTTGAACTCGGAAGGTCTCAGAGACAGAACAAAACGTTTGATTCGATGCTCCTGACTTTGTTTCTTCATTATTTTATACGCTTCAAACCTTCATTTCCCCTAAGTTTTGTATGTCTGAAGGACAACCTCGTTCCTGGGTTAAGCATATGACGTCATATGCTTCACGTTTGGGTAAAACCGCCAACCGATGTCACTTCGGCTCAGATTAATGGCGGATAGGAAAAAACCGACTTTCAAAGCTCGATTTCTCCTGCTTTTCAATGATGTATCGATAAAAAAATTCTCAGAAATACTTATTTGGATCTTCATAAGGAGGTATATGTACAAAAACAGCTCAAATTCGATGTTCGGTTTTCATCGTACCCGCACTTTAACTATACATATCAAATGAAGCACAAGAGCTGGTCGATCTCATTTCATCTATTTACATAATGTACAATAATCAAACTTTCTATTTGGACTTTGAACAAGGACATGACAGCAAGAATGCTTGGAGAAGATCGATGTATGGGCGTCTGAGACTAGATGCTGTAAGAGAACTAGTGTCAATATCGTAATAGTCACAGATGGCGATGAACATTTTAATGGTGAGGCGCTTGAAGCCATTTTCTTTTTCTTTCCTTTCGCAAAGATTGTAGTTTTCAAAAGTAATTGGATGCTGAAGATCACAATTTGCGATGATGTCATTTCGCGCTTTTTGATAGAGCTCTTCTTCTGTGGCAGCTTCAAAAAGTTCACTGGCGTCGGATGCTATGGCTTGTCCCTTCAGCTTGGAGGTCGTCCTACTAAAGTAAGATTGTATTTGCTTTGAGGTTAGAAACTCGTCAATCGTGAAAAGTCTATTGCCAGTATCATCCTTTGCGTACCGCATTTCACGCGAAACATCTTCAGGGTCGACTTTATGGCCAGTTTCTTGTCCAATAAAGAACTTATCATTCAGGAAGTTTTTCTGTT